GAGAGAGAGAGAGAGAGAAAGAGAAAGAGAAAGAGAATCTTAAGTAGGCTCCATGCTCAGTGCAGAGCCCGACATGGGACTCGATTCCCACGACCCCACTGGGATCGTGACCTGAAGCCTCCCAGGTGCCCTGGACCACTTGGAAGTGTGGTCTCTTCCCTCTGGCTTGCTTTGGGTTCTGCCGTTAACATCATGGCAGAAATGGCCCTTTATCCATTCTTGTCCCTTTGGTTTGTAGAAGAAAAAGATAAACTGTATTTTCAGACTATAGTTAGAAACTTGTGCTTTTTCTGACACTGATCCAACAAAAGTAACATCCAGGAAATCCTCATTTGATACAAGGCACAACTGAGTGGTACTGATTTGCAGACGATGGAGGCTCTGAAGACCACTTGCACGATGCTGGAAGAACAGGTCATGGACCTGGAGGCCCTAAACGACGAACTGCTGGAAAAAGAGCGTCAGTGGGAGGCGTGGAGGAGTGTCCTTGGTGACGAGAAGTCCCAGTTTGAGTGTCGGGTTCGAGAGTTACAGAGGATGCTGGACACCGAGAAGCAGAGCAGGTGGGACTTCCTGTTTGTAGAAAGCCAGTGACCGGCAGCTTCACCAGGACCACCTGAGCATTGCGAACAGGGTGCCCACCGGTCCCAGCTTGCTCAGGACCGAGCGAAGTTTCTAGGATACAAGACTTTCCGTGTTAAAGCTGGGAGACCCTTGGACAGCCCAGGGTGGGTGGGTCATCCTAGTGGTAAGTATGGTCAGTGTCACTTGGATTCTGGGGTAGTAACTAGTAGCTGGTGTCCTTTTACTCTGTGTAGAGGCCTACAAGTCAGAGCAGGGCAAATATCTCAGTCCTCTCTTTGCAGAAACTTCTTCCTCAGGTTTGTTATCATTGTGACCACGTGGCAAGACTATGACCATTTTAATCCCGCTCATGTGTAAAGCTAGTCACCCATCTATACTAGGGTTACTCAGTCTTGGCACCATTGACCGTTTGGCCCAGATAATCTTTTGTTGTGGGGGCCGTCCTGCATGTTGTCGAATGGGAGCCTCATCCCTGGTTTTACCCACCACGTGCCAGTAGCAACCCCTTCCTCAAATTGTGACACCTAAAACGTCTCCAGACATTGTCCAGTGTCTCCCGAGGGGCAAAATCACCCTTGGCTGAGAATAGCTTCTCTACAAGAATAGTTAAACCTTTTTTTTAATATTTACTTATTTTTGAGAAAGAGAGAGACTAAATGTGAGCAGGGGAGGGGCAGAGAGAGAGGGAGACACAGAATCCGAAGCAGGCTCCAGGCTCTGAGCTGTCAGCACAGAGCCCGAAGCGGGGCTCCAACCTACAGACCACAAGGTCATGATCTGAGCTGAAGTCGGATGCCCCACAGACTGAGCCACCCAGGTGCCCCTACAAGAATAATTTTTTTTGTTTTTTGGTAGGAAATATAATAATAATAAATAATAATAATAATAATAATAATAATAATAAGTTCAAACAGTATCTTTTCTCTGCCACTTTCGCTTCCATAGTCCCCTGGCATAGAATCCCCTTTCTGCTGGGGCTGTGATCCTGCAGGTCATATACTTCCTAGCCCTAGGGGGTGCCATCCACACTGAAGACATTGTAGATGTGAAGATTGCTTATGACAGTGTTACAGCTCTTGGCAGGAAAGTGTTTTGGTCTAACAAAATGGGCATATTATGACAGTTTACCAACAGATAGAAATAAATGGTCTTGAGGAATAGGTCCCATTTTCCAGCATGCACAGAGGCACAG